TGGAGCTAAACTCTGCAGGACACCGGCCCTCCAGGACCGAGTTTGGGCACCCCTGATATAAACGCTATAAAATATTAGGACAAATGTGGTTTGGTGAACTTTTAGGCAGCTTTTAGGAGAAGGAAGTAAATGATATGCCTACCTGTGGCAAAACACGTAACAACATAAAACAACTGAGAAGATGAGCGCCGAACACACCATTCCCGCCACGAATGTGAGTATCTTTGACATGTCCAAATTATTCAAGAAATCTTCTATACCTTGAATTCACACAGAATTGTTAGTAATATCTATAAAGGTATATAAAGAAAATACCTATTGTTCAGAGTTGGGAGTATTAGATTTGGCCAAGTAGGACTTGAACAACATTTAATCCAATATCTAACCGTAAATTGCCTCTAAAATCATAGAAAAATTATAGTTTAATAAGAATTTTGTTCAGTCCTTAATCCCAGCCCTAATCCTAAACCTAACCATTACCCTAAATCTGATTGGTTGAGAGCAGTGTTGTTCTGCAACAATGTCAAACAAGAAAATTTCCTAAATGGCTAAATCATAATCACCATGAAATAAACATGCAGTTTCTGCATTATGTAAATGCTCTGTACTACCTGTAGTATTTCTGGTGTCATTCAGTGGCATGTTTTCACTTCCAGGACTGAAGGACTCGTTCACTTTCGATTCATTTGTATCACCTGGTATGTGATGAATATGATTTTACAATCAGTAAAGACATATTTTGACTTTAGGTATGTGTCCTGCAAACACTGCAATGAACTTCTCCTGATGTTTGAAGGGTCTATGTGTCGCAATTCAGAATTTCTACAGTTGCTGACACATTTCGTAATTTGTGATGTTGTAAGACTGTGACATTGCTAGGTTATCAATGGAATGTGGTTCTACTTACGAATGACAACGACAGTGATGGATGCATTCAGTATCTTGTTTCTATATGTCCTCATACAGCCGTAAACCCCAGCATGCTCCTTTCTCACATTGGTTATCGTGAAAGATTCAGCAGATGTTTGGTTCATGACTATATCTGTGGTTCCATTGAAACTCCATACAGGATCAGATGATGGTGGGTGACTCTCAACAGAGCAGTTCAGGCTGACAGTGTCACCTTCCATCACTTTGCCATTACCCAGAATTCGAAGAGTCTTCACATCTGAAAATGAGAAACTGCATTAGTTTTGACAGCACATTCACTTGTATGCAAGAAATAAATATTTTCAATTCTACATTCTGATCATCACAGAACATCCAAATAGTAGAAAGAAACTTGTTCTCAACAGTAATAGCTGTGCTCTTCTGAACTGACCCAGCAGGCACACAACGTCATAAGACGTTGATATTTGGTTAAATTTCGTTTGCGACGTCCGGTGACCAAAATTCAATGTAAATTCAACGTCTAATGTCAATGTTAAATTGATGTCCAGTACCGACGTCAGCTAACGTTGATATTTTGTTGTTTTTAGGTTGTGTAACCAAAATCCAATGTTAAGTCATTGACATTGACGTCAACCCGATTTTCATTTTCAACCAAAATGCAACGTCTGTCTGACGCCATGTCCAATGTCAACCTGACGTTACATATACGTTCGGTGCCTGCTGGGGAACATTTTGTTGTATTTCTGTATTTTAATGTAATGGTCTAGGGGCAGTTATAGTTAAAATAAAGATATGTAAACTCACACATGACTTCGAGGGTCCCACTCGTACTGATGTTTTTGCTTCCGTAGCTGACGTCACATCCTACAGTGGCATTGTGCAGGTCAGAGGTTGGAGTTAATGTCAAAGTTGAGAGGTAAAGGATTTTGGAGGTGATCAGTGTGATGATGTTGTCCTTTAGATCAATGATGTTTCCCTCTCTTGTCTTGATCCACCATGTTATTTCAGGAGGAGTTTCAGGACAAGGAAAAGGAGCTGGACATGTCAGATTGGCCTCCTCTCCTTCACTGAGAAGAGGAACGTACATTATAGGCTCATCTGCAAATAGATGTACTCAAGAAGTTAGACATTGCCGACATGTACCACAGTCTAAATTTTGGAGTCATTCTTTGAGTATATATTTAGATCATACAATGAAATGCATATTGTAGCAGTGTACTCGTAGCAGTGTGGTTAACACAACTATATGTTGAAGTTTCTTTATTTAAGAAATTATGTCCAGTATAGTTCCTCTGCTGGGATTATGAAATCATTAAAACATCTGAAACAGAACATCCTTCTGAAACAATAAAAAACTGAAAGACAGCTGCAAACTACAGGCAAAAACAGGAGCTGTTTAACTTTGCCAAACAAATGCAAGCATTACCTTGGATGATGATTTTGACATTGGAGTTATGTGAATTTTGGCCATGCCCCACAATTGTGAAAGCATATTCTCTTTCATCTTCCTTTATTTCTTTGATGATGCTGCTGCAGTTGTTTTTGCTCAGGTCAGGTTCAAGCCACTTAATCTGTTCCGTTTCACTTTGCTTTCTTCTACGGTTTGGCATCTCAAATATTGTCTTACATTCACTTGGTTTATTACACACTTTCCACTGAACAGTTTGAAGTTGAGTTTTACCTTGAGTGAAGGTACATGAAATGAGAGCACATAATCCTGAAACTGCAGTAACTTCTGGTGGATCGAAGATGATGTTCCCATCTTTGTTTTCTTTACCTTGAATAAGCACATTTTTAAACATATATTTTTATTTAATTTAAATTTAAAGTTTAAAAGTTTAAGTTAAATGTAAAATGTTAGGAAATCGCAATATAAGCTGTATACCTGTACACAACATATTTAATAATAAAATAAAAAGGATGGTACAGCATGAGATGATCTGCATTTCAAATGTGTTCCACAAATCTGCACAGAAAAAAGAACATTACTTTAGAATTTAGCTTTTATAAACTAACTACACATTGCCTTCTATAGAACATATGTATACGGTACTAAAGAGAGAGTGTCTTACCGTTTTCTCAAGTCAACCCCTTCACAATGTTTTCAGAAGCTTTAGTTTTTTGAACTGCAGAAGAACAAAATGCATCCTTCCTCTTATCATGTACTTCCTCTTTAAAATGCCTTCAAAAATGAGTTTGCACCAGCATGCGGCTGGGGCTTTTGTCTATTTCAAAAATCAGTATAGCAAACAGGATAGCAGGAAAGAAAAGCATCTTTAGCCAGAGATTTAGAGTGCACGGAGAGAAGAAAAATATCTAGATTAGGATTTTTGATTTGAAAGAGGTAAAGGAATTTATTAACTTTTAAAGCCTTTCCATCTGGTATTAATATGCATTTTGTGATCTGGTCACCAATGGTCAAACACTAATACAGGCGTAAAATCGAGTATAAAGTGTTTTGTGGTCAGATCACCACATCACATTTGGGCTGGTCCCGATGCCCACTCTTTGTAGTCTTTGCACTTGATCTCTTGTCTACTTACATGACATATTTCCTGTATTTGTTTCAAGTGGGTGTGAGGACCATGTGCACAGAACTTCTGATTAACTAATGGGACACACTTACAACATAGTGCTCTAAAGATGCAAGTAAAGTTTTTACTGAGTTTTATTTACACATATTGTTCATTTACAGGTAATTCTTTGCACTTAAAAAAACGTCTAAATTTCTGCTGAGTAGTCCCTATGACAGAGTTTAATTGTGGTGCTTTTAATTAAGTGATAAAAAGCAGCTGCAAACATTTACTAAAATACACACACTCATCGCTCTACCAAATTTTTTTTCAAAACATTGTTTTACACAAATTATATGTAATATCTAATAAAATTAATTTACACTATAAAGTTGTCCTCAACATCTTGTGATTTCAGGGCATGTGTGGATTTAGTTTGTGTTGGGGGCATTGAGCTTTGCCATTTTTCAAACCTGGGACAGTCTTGTGTACTCGCTCTCAACTTGCCAAGACCACTAGTGTAGCTATTGGGACCACAGATATGTATATACATATATATGATTTGGACAGGCCCTTTGTAGTGAAAATGCCATCCTTCCTAATTGCATCAAGGACCGCCCGAATTAAGCTCCGCCCACTCACCTCATGATACTGGTCATGGGCATCAAAAGAAATGTAATGATTCTTTTCACAAAACAATTTTAAGGGATTTAAGTGAATAAAAAAATGGTGAGTAATCCATTTGAACTGAAAAAAATAGCTTTTTTTATTTTACTAAACAGCGTCCAGGAAAGTCAAGTAACCACATTTATTTAATTAATTCATAATATGCACACATACATTCTTAATCTTATACCTAATGTACCTAATATATTACTCGTATATATATATATATATATTTTTTTTTTTTTATTTTTTTTTTATTTATTTATTTTTTTTCATATTCTGCACAGCTTCTCATGTGCATGGATAATATACTGTACACCTGAGTGGTATAAAATTCACTTTAGTCCTACTAACACCTAAAACACAGAAAGAATGAAATTGGAACACTTTGAATTAATTCACACTGTTTATTTGTTAAAGAACATCTGAACAAGAAGAAAATATTCAGAAAAAAAAATACTAAAAATAAGCTCAGATAGAATGAAGTTTCTAGATCTGTGAAGAAGCAGTGACTTAAAATAAAATATAATATTTTACAATTTCAGAATAATAAAAATCCAACATAATAATGAAAAAAAAAAGCATATAAGGGGTTCCTTGAATTCAACTGATTAATTTCACTCTTTCACACAGTACGTTCTTACATTTTGTCCTGGAAAAACCTCCAGTACAACTTCAGTGTCTGTGTTTGTGGCCACCACTTCATATGTCTTGTCCTTGCTGGAAAAGATTTTCAGGCAATAAGATCAAAGAATTAAAGCAAAGTAAATTATACTGAATTACAGAGATTAGAATAATGATTGTCTGTGTTTGTGGACAGCAGTATTCACATGCTTTCTCATCAACTAACCCAATCAAACAAAGCATACAGAACACCTTGATTTGAACAATATATTATGCATTTTGTTGAATGTGTTGCACATTTGAGCTTTTACTTAAGTTACTCAGGTGATACCTTTTCCAAGACTCTTGACAGCACAAAACCACAGAGAAGATGACTGCTGAAATGGATCTTCCCGTCAGACATGCTGTTATCATTTTGATGTCCACATGCAGTTGAAAAGCTTCTTTATCTTGAATGTAAATTCAAAAGGAAATAATAGTTTCATAAGAATATGGTTCAATCCCCAATCCCAGTCCTAATTTTAAATTTAGCCCTCACCCTAAATCTGAAATAAATACATATGGTGTTTACTACATGTTTACAGTAGGCTACACAACCACTCAGTGTTACCTGTAGTTTCTATGTTGACATTCAGTGGCTTTAGGATGTTTTCACCTCCAGGACAGAAGATTTCTTTTGTCTCACCTAGAATGTGATGAACCTGGTGTTATAATTCTGTGAGTCTGTTCATCAGAAAAGCATCAACTGTAAAACTGATTTGAATGCTTAAGGACTCAGTATGTAAGTGATGGATATTTTTAGTTCTACATTTGATCTTTACAGAGATACTTAACAGAATATCCAAGAACATTTGGCTCTTCAGTTCATTTCCAATACATTTGCAACACCTACCTGTAGCATGTGATTAATGTTTGGTATTATAATTACTTAAAGAGTTTTTGAATTTCCCAAATGTTTTCGGGATCTGTCTGTCACAATTCAACATTTCAACTGTTGCCGACACATTAACACATTTTAATTTTTAATAATTTGTAATGTTAGATGCATTCACTGTGTAGTTCCTATATGTCCTCATTCAGCTGTAAACGCCAGCATGCTCCTTTCTCACATTGGTTATCGTGAAATATCCTACATTTGTATGAACTGAATGTGGTTCTACTTACGAATGACAACGACAGTGATGGATGCATTCAGTATCTTGTTTCTATATGTCCTCATACAGCCGTAAACCCCAGCATGCTCCTTTCTCACATTGGTTATCGTGAAAGATTCAGCAGATGTTTGGTTCATGACTATATCTGTGGTTCCATTGAAACTCCATACAGGATCAGATGATGGTGGGTGACTCTCAACAGAGCAGTTCAGGCTGACAGTGTCATCTTCCATCACTTTGCCATTACCCAGAATTCGAAGAGTCTTTACATCTGAAAATGAGAAACTGCACTAGTTTTGACATCACATTGACTTGTATGCAAGAAAGAAATATTTTTAGCTCTACTTTCTGATCATCACAGAACATCCAAATTGTAGAAGATGAAAAAAGCTTGTTCTCAACAGTAATACATGTGCTCTTCTGAACTGAACATTTTGTTATATTTCAGATTTTTAATGTAATGGTCTAGGGGCAGTTGTAGTAGTTAAAATGTAGATTTGTAAACTCACACATGACTTCGAGGGTCCCACTTGTACTGATGTTTTTGCTTCCGTAGCTCACGTCACATCCTACAGTGGCGTTGTGCAGGTCAGAGGTTGGAGTTAAGGTCAAAGTTGAGAGGTAAAGGATTTTGGAGGTGATCAGTGTGATGATGTTGTCCTTTAGATCAATGATGTTTCCCTCTCTTGTCTTGATCCACCATGTTATTTCAGGAGGAGTTTCAGGACAAGGAAAAGGAGCTGAACATGTCAGATTGGCCTCCTCTCCTTCACTGAGAGGAGGAACGTACATTGTAGGCTCATCTGCAAATAGAGGTACACAACACAAGTTAGACATTTACCACAGTCTAAATGACTTTTTTTTTTATTATTAAATGCAAATTGTATTGAGATTAAAAGAATGGTGTGGTTAATCTTGCACATTCATGTGTTAAAATTTCTTTATTTAAATGTGTTTTTATTATTATTATGAAATCATAACACATCAGAAGTGTGAGCTGAATATCTCTATGAAACAGTAGAGAACTGAAATAGAACATCAAACTAGAGAAAAAAGCAGGATATTTTAAACTGTGCTAAACCCAAGTAAGCTTGTCTTGATCCACCATGTTATTTCAGGAGGAGTTTCAGGACAAGGAAAAGGAGCTGGACATGTCAGATTGGCCTCCTCTCCTTCACTGAGAAGAGGAACGTACATTATAGGCTCATCTGCAAATAGAGGTACACAACACAAGTTAAACATTTACCACAGTCTAAATGACTTTTTTTTTTTTTTTTATTAAATGCAAATTGTATTGAGATTAAAAGAATGGTGTGGTTAATCTTGCACATTCATGTGTTAAAGTTTCTTTATTTAAATGTGTTTTTATTATTATTATGAAATCATAACACATCAGAAGTGTGAGCTGAATATCTCTATGAAACAGTAGAGAACTGAAAGAGAACATCAAACTAGAGAAAAAAGCAGGATATTTTAAACTGTGCTAAACCCAAGTAATTACCTTGAATGATGAGTTTGACTGTGGGTTTATATGTGTATAGATATGAATGTGACCCCTCCACTCTGAATGCATATTCCTTTTTATCTTCTGCCTTTATGTTTTTCATGATGATGCTACAGTTGTTTTCGGTCAGGCCAGGATCAAGCATCTTAATCTGTCCAGTTTCAGTTTCTTTCTCTCCAAATTTGTTTTCAATATTTTTACTGACTTTCGCCTTGAAGATTTCATCCTTACACTGACCGTTTTTACACACATACCACACAACGTTATTAAAAGGTTTTGCATAATTTGGGTAAGTGAAGGTACATGAAATGAGAGCACATAATTCTGGAACTGCAGTAACTTCTGGCGGATCAAAGATGATGCTCCAGTCCTTTCTTTGGCCTTGAATACAATAAAAGAATACGATCAAAAACCTGGACATGAGAAACCTCAAATCTTAAAACAGTAATTCCCTGTCCATGCTCAGTATGCAGATTTATTTGTGTAAAGCAACATAAACTTTCAATACAAAGTGTATAAGATGTACATACAAGTGTTTCAAATATAGATTTCATAGTGAAGTGGTATGGATGGAAAAAAATATTTTTGTTTTTAAACATTGAACACAAATATATCTGTAAAACATGCAAATACATACCTTTACACAAAATATTTAATGCTAACATAGAAAGGATTGTGCAACTTGAAATAATCTGCATTTTATATGTGTATTCCACAAATCTGCACGGAAAAAGAACATTTTTACACAAACTGTGCAATTTCAAATATATTCCAAATATATACTTGTTCTAAATATTTTTGTGTAAAATATACAGTATATAAAATATTTTGGCAGTACATATATTAAAACGTGTCATGTTAATAAAACTAAATTTCAAATTATATTTAAAAGATAAAACATTAAAAGTGACCTTACCACTTTAAGTCAAACCATTCACAGTGTTCTCTAAGCTTTTTAGAACTGCAGAAGCAGCTCACAGATAGGCCTATGTACAAGATGCATCCTTCCTCTTTTAGAGAACTTCTTCATTTTATGGAAATGCACAAATGGGCGATTGTTGTACATAGCCGTAGTTTGATACAAATGTATTGTCGTTAGCAAGATATATCAGGATTAATTTTTTGAAAGAGATCAAATCAGTGAAAATAGTATTGTGGGTAAGATGCTTTTCACTTTGCAAAGAAGTTAGACTTTATTAACAAAGACTTAACCCTCAGTTTGGGTCAATATGACCCCAAACATTGAAAGAGTAATTGTGAAAAATATATAAATTTTTAATCATACAAATAATATATATTTTTTTTTGTTTACTTCGCATCTGTACATTAATGCTGTGTTTTGGGAGATATGAAGTACTTTTGTACCTATTTACCACATAATTCCTCAACTACACCATTAGCTTGCATGTGAAATATTATTTTTTTATGAAAAAATCACTTCAATGATGACCTAAATTAAATTGAAGTTGCTTCTGGATATTGATCTAGGTGTTAGGTGTAGAATTCTGCCATCTGCTGGTTAGAAATAAACCTAAAAGGATTACAGTTTAGGAAATAAATTGACCAGCAGAGGGCCATTGAGAGCCATTCATTTTACTGGATGTGCCCAACTGCTTCTATCACAACTTTTGTGATACATTTTGTGAATTTATGTATATATAAACATTAGAAAATACATTAAAAATAAATATTCTTTCAAATGGTATAATGTTTTATGGGTTTTGATGCCATAGCGACAGGTGGGATGTTTTCCCAGTGAGCACGCCGGACCCATGATCTGAGGCATGTCTTCTGGAAGCTTTGAAGAGATAGCATCCTGACTTCGCTCAAATTTGAACACAAAGTCATCTTTCCCAGCTTGGCTGTTCATGTTGCTGTTGGAGTGGGGCGGTTTTGGTGGTTGAGGGTCTAGTCTCTCTGGCTGTGCTGTCATGCAGTTCTCGCCAACTTCGTAGACAAAGCAAATCCTGGCCAGATACTGCAGGATGAATTTCTTGGCCCAGTTTGGGACGGGTTTGGCCTCGGGGCCACAGCGATGTATGCTCATAATAAAGATGGTGAGGGCAGTGGATGCAGTGGTCATGGTCATCGTGGCTATGCACGTTTAGTGTCAATGATATTGCCAGTAAATGATTACATTAGACTGACAAGTTCAGAATGACAGATTGTCAATTAATGTTGAATGCTATTATGTTTCTTAACAGTTACATTAATGATCATTTTAGTACATAAAAATAGTTAGCAATAGTAGGACCTACTAACAGAAAGTAAGAAACACAAAGCTACTTATAGGGGCAATAAATACTTAAATATGTAGAAACTACATAAGTACACAAAACTAAATATTAAGCTAAATAAATATTAACCTAAAATGCCCAGGCTGAATTTTAAATGTTATATAGTTTATGCCTTTATATTAAAACTTTGTATTTTTACAAATTTGACCATATTACAGCAGTTATGATTCACCTATAAGGGGTACATTCTCTGAAGGAGGCATGATCTCAGCGAGGGCTGCACGATTATGACAAAAATCATAATTGTCGATTATTGCCTTGAAATTGTAATTGCGATTATTAGTTACGATTATCACAATTTACATTGATTGATGTTTATACCGTTGTTTGATGCAACTGCATGCCGTATTTTTATATGAAAATAAACAAGCTGAAAACACTCTAACTGAAAAACTTGTAGTGCTTTTCTATAGTAATTAAGCCTCAAATGTCAACTATACATCAGATTGGTTTCTTCTTTAAATTATTAAAAAAATCAAAATATAAACGGTATTATAGTGTAATACTAAAACTAAAATTCAAACAATGGAAAAACCCTTAAGATAACATGTAGAAGAAAAAAAAGCATCTTAAACACACAGAGTGGACTTTGAACGATTAATTGAACGATCCAGTAAATTATACTTTTGACTGAACATTAGACTGTGTAATATGAATTTGCTAAGAATATTAAGAAGGTTTGAGTCCTATTACTGGCTAAAAACCTGCAAAAAATCAAACAAATATGAAGAGAAACTAACAACAGCACAGTGGCAGATTGATATGTAAGAAAGAAGAATGCATTACCTGGTGCAAACATCAAGCAGAAGGGGAAAAAAAGGGCAAAATATTGCACATTCTTGGCAGACATCTCACAGTTTTCTTCATTGCAGCTCTGCTATCGGGCATAAAGTGACAGGTGCTATTCGATTCACTGAAGGTCTAGTCTTTCAACTTCAGATGACAGCTGCTGTATGAAAGTCAATAAAACACAGAGACACTAAACCGTGTAATCCTCCAAACAGAGCACGTGTGTAATCCAGCCTCTGCGCCTCACTGTATTTGACATCGTATTATATATGTTAAACAAAATATATGTCCAGGTTTTGCTGCCATTGAGTACACATGTATTTATTATTATTTAATATTATTTATTAATTTAAAAAAATACATTTCCTAAATGTTAAATAGTTCATAATCTATTTAACAATGTAATTAATAATATTAATTCATATCACTGACAATATTATGTCCGTCCATATATAGGTCTATAAAGCTACGCTACTGTTAAAAAGTTTTAGACACTTGTGTAAAATGAGGATGCTGTCAAAAAAAAAAAAGACATACCTAGATTTTCCTTATCAATAAACTTCTATTAACTAAATTATATTAAAATGAGTGATTAATTTATATAGCTATTTATATAAAACAGATTGTTTCAAAGCAGCTACACAGAAATAAACAGGAAAATAAGTGATGCAAAATTTATTATGAAATTATTATGAAAAATAAACAAATACATAATCATTGCTTCACACCCCTGGCAATAGTTCATTAAAATATTTCATGCAATTGCAAATTTATTGACCATCAGCTGACCTCACAGCGGTTTGCTAATTTCACCATTATTTTGATTTTGATTTTTTTCTGAATAAAACCAGCAGCTCTTTATCATGTACAGCAGGTTTAAATGAGGTGCTTTCACTCTTTGACCACGGGGTGGCAGTATTAGCACATAATTCCACTGTAGAAACTGTAGAGTCCCATGTTGCCACATCAGACTGAAGATTATCTCATTTTCATGTGATTATGTGAAAAGGAAGAATATGTATTTTACATGATCAAATAAATTGATGTATTTGTAAATGAATTAGCAATTTGGCTGTATTCGGAAATTGAAAATCGTATTTGTATAATTATATCAACGGGAAAGAACATGTTAAAACATAATGAAAGCAAGCACAAGGTCCAAACAAAGACGAGAGTGTTGTTTTGTGTTTGCCAGAGGCCATAACACTGATTTCACTGTCAAATTCACTGGCTTGTGGTCAGGATTTAAGTGAATGCACAGCAGTGTTTGCCTGAGTATAAAACTGTAGCAGTCTCATGCGAGTCTATACTTCATTTTACTTTCAAATCACACTGAGGCAAATGCAACATCATGTAACTCTGCGATGAGGGATCAGATCTGGTCTAATGTCTGACTCACAGTAATATTTTTTCTAGAGCTTGACAGTTTTTTTTTCTTCTACACTCTTAAAAATAAAGGTGCTTCAAAAGGTTCTTCAAGAGATGCCATAGAAGAACCATTTTTGGTTCCACAAAGAACCATTCAGTCAAAGGTTCTTTAAAGAACCTTTGACTGAATGGTTCTTTGTGGAACCAAAAATGGTTCTTCTATGGCATCTCTTGAAGAACCTTGTGAAGCACCTTTATTTTTAAGAGTGTATTTGCAACCCCTATTTTATTTTTTTATTTATTTTGTATTTGTTGCTGATCTGTTGTTCTGTTCTCATGTCTCTCCAGACATACAACAAAACCAAGACTGCTGCGAACTGTGCCAGAAATAGCTGAGGATTTAGAGGAGGGAAGTGAAGGTTTCTCGTTCTTCTGCTCTCACTAACAAGAGTCTCGAAAATCAACACAAAAGAAAGTACATGAAAACTGCTTCATAAGCAGCCACAAACTCATCTCTTCAAAAAAATGAACTTGAAACTAATGAGTTTCAAGTTTTGTAATCGTGAGGTGTGTAAAGCGCAGATTTGCATAAACAGTTCCTCCTTTTTATTAATGTGTCCAGGAAAGTACAAAGTCAGCATTTTTTACAAGAGCTTTTATACTGTGACAGTGGTTTGTGTGAACTGATTCACACACAAGTGGCACAGAATTCCTTTCTTGTGTTTAACAGTACATGATATTAAACCCTAAATGCTGAAATGAGATTCCAAGTAAGTGTCACGATTAAATATGAAAATGAACATTATAATG